AAGACAGGCTCTGTCTTACCTCATCATCATTGATAAGGCTAAATTAAACTTTAAAATTAACCTGAGTGGCACCCCTACAAGCTCCCCAACTACTGTGTCACAGCTGTCCCCACCAGCACCATCATCACCTTAATCAGCTGCAGAGAGTATGTATCCAGCACTGGACCTATGTACCCAGCACTAGATCGCCCAGTGCTTGTATGAAACCACAAGGCAAAGGAAACTTAAATATAAAAGATTCCACCTGCTAGCTTTTGCAGACAGACACTGACTTCTGCAAGTGTGCCTTATTTCTGCCCTTTCCTTCCTTGGAAAGTACTTTTCAGTAAAGTACTTGACTTCTAATCTTTTAGGCTCTGTGGATTCTTTCACAATCTGTGCCAAGCTAACTAGACCTTTCCCTGCCCACCGTCCATTATCTTTTCTTAGCTGGATTCTACAAGATCTTGAATGATTCCAGCCCTGCTTACCCCCTCTCACCCCTCTCCTCATCATTGGGTTCCAGGCAGCACTGGCTCCATTCTATTAAACATCATTCTTTATTAGGGTGTTTGCCTGAGCCACCCCATCTGCTCGGGACCTCCCTACTTCTTTCCCCTGACTAACTCTTGGTAAAATTTCAACTTTTCAGCTTAAGTGTCATTCCTCAGGAGAAACTCTATACTCTAGAATGGATCCAGCACCATTTTTACATTTTTACAAATGCTTGTGACTCTTTGTACTTATTCCTGGTGCTTTTTTTCATTGTAATTATACAATCATTGATGCAATCATATGTTCAATGTTTGTCTTTCCCACTTTTTTTCTGAGTTCCATGACAACTGGGAACATGTGTGTTTTGTTCACAGAGGCAGAATCTGATACATAAGCAGTGCTCCAGAAATATTTGTAAGTGAATATAGGTTCGTAATTTTCCAGGAAGTCCCCCATTGTCACACTCCCTTTATTTGACCCTTTAGCTGAGTTCACAGAAGTGAATAAATAATTAAGATTGCCCTCCCTTTGCCTCAGGACCTCAGATCAGTTGATGCTGAGAAAGAATCATCTGGGAGTAAAAGAGCTTAGTAAAGGACAAAAGCTTATTGTTTCCCCTGTATGAAATGATCCAACTCCCAAACTCCTAACTAATGGTATCTATCTAGCTAAAACACTCTAAACTAATAGCAGATGGTTAAGGGATCAGCATTAAGATTTAAGCAGACAACTGAAGTAATGGTTAATAATTAAGCCTTGGCAAATAACTATACTATTAAGTGCCCAAATATAGGGTTTTTACAGATTTATTTATTTATGCATACAGAACTGCACCCAGAGGTGCAGGGGCAGTGAGAGGGCTCACCAGAGACAGAGTAGGGGAGCAGAACAGGCAGATCTACTGAAGTACACTGCTGAGGGGAGCAGTGGGCAAGACTGAAGTCTGCTGTGCCATGTGGGTCACCTCCTTGGCTGGGGATCGAACTCATGCTGAAGTGGCTCTGGCTAGCTTCATAGTGCTGCACTTTAACCCACTGCACCACGAGGGAGGGCCCCAAAATATAATCTAATAATGTATTTGTAAGTTAAGTGTTAAAAGACAAAGTTTTAGTAGAATTTCAAATACTAAGCTACTCAAATGTTAGCTGATAACTGAGGAATTAATTTTAAACTAAGTTGCTAGCAGGTACTTTTAATCAACAACTAAAGTGACAGTTGATAAGGAGTTTTCAACTCTTGTACGTTAAAGGGGGCTTGTGAACAGCAGAAAATTATTTAATAAAGTCTAGGAAAAATAATTTTTGAGAAAGAAAAAGTGTGCTGACTTTGCTTCCTGCTGGATTGGGCCACCCTCTAGGGCAAGTCCTAGTCCCCTTGTGGTGTTACAGAACAAAATCTGTTACAGGACAGTAAATCTGTTATAGGGCGGGGGGAGGGGCACCTCTAAAGCCCAAAACCTGCCTGCTTTAAGTGGGTTCTGCCATCCGCCGCAACAAGACAAAACATATAAAACTTTAATGAAAAGGGACTTTAATACAGTGAATATATAATACGGAACACAAAGAATATAACTTCTAAATCAAACACCTGAAGTGACCCATCCCCTCGTGGGCAAAAGTCCACCCAAAAGGGATTGGCCCAAAGCAAGGTCTGAAAGCCCGCCACTAGACTAAAGCACCTTCTGGGCGGGACCCATGGAAAAGGGTCAGAAATGGCCAAACAAATCTGGGAGGAAAAGAGCAAAATCAAAATCAATATAAACACTGCCAGAGTCACCTCCCTACGGGTATCTCATCCACATCTGCCTTAACCAGTCCAGGGTCAGGAAACAAGCCCGGTTTCTTCATCACATGCTTGCTGCTCCATGTGGCTTCCTCAGGTCTCCTTCTGGCTCTCCATACTGCTTCCTTCTCCTCTTCTCTCTTTCTTCTCTTTGGATTCCTTCTCTTTTCTCCTTTTCCTCTGCATCCACCTTCCTTCTCTTCTTTCTTTTTCCTCTACTCAGCTCCACCCTCCTTCTGGGTGGGGCAGGGAACCTGGAACTTTCCCTTTTCCTAGGGACCACCCTGTTACAAAAGGAGTAGGCAGAGGAGGGAGAGATATCAATAAACACTGAGAAGAAAGGAGAACTCTGAGATGGGGGGGAGGTGGACCAAGAGAAGACAGTAGCATGAAATCTAAGGGAAGAAAATGTGTCATGTGTCAGGGAGATCAGAGTAGTCAGCAATAGCAATGCCACATGAGGCTGAGAGGTCACGCAGGATAAGGTCAGAGAGATGTCCTTGATGAATGTGATTCTGAGATACCTTATCACAGAATCTTCTGTGATAACTGTTCATTTTAAAAACTGAATTAATTTTTCACTTGGATTTGTCTCAAAATGTATTATCAGACCACACTGATGGACATGAAGATGGTGCCGAAATTTGCACTACTGTGAATAGTGTACATACATATTAGGCCCTTTGTCTTAGGCCCTCCCTGGTGGCGCTGCACTCTGAAGCTAAGCCAAGCCATGGCCGCTTTAGTGCGAGTTCAATCCCCGCCCCAGGGGATACCCACATGGCGCAGCACAGCTCTCCTGTCTTCACCACTGCTCCCCTCAGCAGTGTACTTTGTCAGTCGCCGGCCTGTTCTGCTCCCCACTCTGTCTCTGGTGAATCCTCTCTCCACCCCTGCACCTTTGGCTGGTACCCCATTTCTGTATGCATAATAAATAAAATCTTTGAAAAAAAAATTTTGTTCTTATTTACTTGTCATGCCCTTATTTTTTTTTTCTGTGCCCTCCCAGGTGATGAGTGGGTTGAAGCGCAGCACTGTGAAGCTGTCCTTGGCCACTACAGCATGAGTGCAATCCCCGGCCAGTGAGGTGACCCACATGGCCTGGCAAACCTCTTCTGACCCTCCCGCTGCTCCCTTCAGCTGTGTATTTCAGTCAATCTGCCTGTTCTGCTCCCCACTGTCTCTGGTAGGTCTTCTCACCTCCTGTACCTCTAACCTGTACCCCAGTTCTTGTATGCATAAATAAATAAATCTTTAAAAAATATTGTTTTCCATAGAACTGGGGTGTAGCACAGGGTGTGGGGGTTGGGGGTGAGAGTACTCACCAGAGACAGAGTGAGGAGCACTACAGGCAGATCTACTGAAATACACCACTAAAGGGAGCAGTGGGTGACACAGGAGAAGTCTGCTGTGCCATGTGGGCCAGCTCTCTGGCTGGGGATGAAACTCAGACCACATTGGTGATAGCACTGAGACTTAACCCCTATGCCACCAGAGAGGCCCCACGTATATACATTATTGTATAGTTTAGGAATCTTCTAGAAGGAGAAATGATGGGTCAAAGTGTATGCACATTTTGGTTTAAAAGGTACTGCTAGGAGTATAAAGGACCAGGGGAGAAAATAACAATAACAATAATAAACAATGTACCAGAGACATTTTACAGGGTGGAGTGGGGAATGGGATCAAAAATGGGGGAGGGGGGAAGTGCACAGGACTATGGCGATGGCACACGGGTGATTTGGTGATGGGAAGCCCTCAGGGATTACAACTGAGATGGAAAAAGGCACAAAATGATGTAAAAATAAACATTGTATTATTAAAATAATAACAATAAAAAAATAATAAAAGGTACTGCTCAAAATTTGGGCCGGTTTATTGTCTCACTAACAGTTTTTGCAAATGTCCAATCTCCCCCATCCTTATCTACAACATGTAGTGTCATTTAAAAAATCTTTCCAACTTGAATGAGGCATCTTTTCATGTCTGTATCATCCATCAATTACCTATTCATGTGTCTTTTACCTGTTTATTATTGCAGTGTACTTTTGGTCACTCAATTCTTATTGAGTGATAATGATAAACTTGATAAAAATAGGCTTGGACATTTTCTACCAAATTGCTAAACAAACTGTTCAGCTCCAGAAAGTAATAGAAAATAAGGCAGATAGTTTTTCATGTTCATTTTTTATCATCCTATATTATTTCACAATGAATTTGTATTACTTTTATAAGTAAAAAAGTAATACAGAGAATAAAACAGTAAAAGTTTGTTTTGGGTTCCTGTCTAGGAATTCACATTGGGTGCAAACTTTCATTGACCACAAGTTTGTTTGCTTGTTTCCTTTATGTGCAAAAACCCCACATGTATTAAATACTTCTTAGTTAACTGGCACTGCCCTAAGCACTTTCAGAGATTTTTTTTTTAAACCTAACTCTCGCAATAACCCTGTGAGGTAAGAATTAGCCTCATTTTACAAAGTTCTTAACAGGCAGACTATTGCTTAATATATTTCTGTTTGCCACATGTCTATGGGCTAGAGGTTCTTACTGGTCAAGAACACTCAGGAGTTCCTGTAGGATGCACCAAGATTGAAATAATACTAGAATTTTCCCACCACAGGAATGATGGGGTAGGTGAGCAAGGAGAGTCAACTGTCTCTCCTTATAAAGCACCATTGAGTTTGCTTGGTCACACATGCAAGGTGGGGAGGAATGAGGGCCATGGAAGAGGGAAAAAGTGGTTACAAGTCTTCTCGCTTCTTCAGGATGAGCTTCCTCACAAGTGCTGTGATCTGGGGCTTGATCTCCTCCACGGACACAGTTGGGTCCCAAGCCCCTACTACTTTTCCATCTGGGGCCACCAGGTACTTCCAGAAGTTCCAGGTAGGTTCCTTTCCAGAAGTCTCTGGAGAAAAGGAAAAAAAGGAGAGCAAAGTGTGTGTTCTCTTGTCTGGAATTCCACTACTGGTGTCTATCCTTCCTTTGAAGCAGTAGTTCTATTAGAATTGCTTAAAAATCCTTATGCCTAGTCTACACCACATACCATTTAAATCAGTACCTCTAAGTGTAAGACTTAGGAATAGTATTCTTTAAAAGCTCTCCAGATGATTCCAGTGTGACCCCCAAGTGTGAGAACTACTACTTCAGGATTCTGTGAATTGCTAGAAGTGCAGTATTAATGACCTCAAACCAATGAGTGGTCTGTCTACACCCTATTCTGTAATTAATCTCAATGGTTTTGAAATGTTAGTTCATGAACTGCTTTGTATCTGAATTGTGGTGTGTGTGTGGAGTGGGGGGGGTGGTTCGGTGGGGGTGTTGCTTAAAATAAACAGATTCTTGGGCTCTGCTTGAGTAGGTCTCAGTTAATGCATTTTCAAAAGCTCCCCATGTGCTTTTAAAGAGCAACCAGGTTTAATGTATAACTATAGAAACTGAGAAGGAACTAATAAAAACAGGAAAAAAAAAAAGCAACATTAGGGTTGACCCAGAGAGCACAATTCAAATCTGCTGTGTTTCTCCCTTACTGTCCCAGTGAATGGGCTGAGGCATGGGTGTGTGTGTGAGGGCGTGAAGGCCTCAGAAACAATGGAGTGAGAGAGGGAGTTGGCAAACACCGAGCTGCCAAAGGAGGAGAAAGGCCTGAGGGAGGCAGGAAACAGGATCTTAATGACAAGTTCAGTCCTTTAACCTATTTTGTGGGCCTGAGGCTTCTGGGGCTGAAGAAAGGATGGACTCTGAAATGTTAAGACCTGGAGTTTTAGCTCCAAAGGTTTCCCTCCTGTGGCCTTTCCCTCAGTAAGAACAGGAGATGCCTCAACCTTCTCCAGGCTGTGGCATCCCCAGTCTGTGCCTTGGTTTCTCCATCCTAAGTCCAAAAATTCAGCTAATTCTCACTGACTAAAATCTGCAGACCCATTCTCCTCCTATGTCTCCCCTGTGCTTGGCAACAGGATCCCAGAAAAATCTGTAAGAATGACTGAGGGATAAGTGCCAAGGCTTTAGAGTGAGATATTCTTAGGTAAGAATAACCCTCAGCCCAACCTCAAAGATGAGGTGACTATCAACAGACCGCCAACCCACCTGCAGGACTCTGGAAGGATACCCAGGCCAGAGCCAGTCAGTGATTTCTGCTGCTCAGGGAGCCCATTGCCTCAGTCAGCTGAAGGGAGGGAGGGGTGGGATCAGGACTCACGGGTCAGGTACTTGAAGGCAGGGTGGGCACCAGTGCCCGTGACTGCGACCTTGCTAAACATGGGGAAGGAGACACTGTAGGTCCGGCGAGCAAAGCTCTCTATTTCCTTGTTGCTGTCAGGTTCCTGATGGCCAAACTGGTTACAGGGGAAGGCCAGCACGTTGAAGTGGTGGGGCCCCAGGTCCCGTTGCAGTTGTTGCAGGGCTCTGTAGTGCTGGTCGGTGAAGCCACACTCACTAGCCACATTCACCACCAGGGATACCTGGAAGGCAAAAACGAATGAATCATTCACACATACTACACTCAGGAGGACATTCCCAACTCCCAACCATTCATCCAGACTCTTTGCTGCTCTGGCTGAGGGCATAAAGCATACCATTCTTGTTTATGGTTATTGTTGCCAAGGCTAAACCCAGTGCCACATATTAGTAGGGAGCAGTAAATTAAATAAAAACAACACTTTTTTTTATTGTGGTAAATTTTTTTTTTACATCACTCTTCATTTTTATACAGTGTATGCTTTGTCATCTTGGGTATACTCCCCATGAAATTTCCACCACCAATTTACCAGGGCACCATCACTATAGTCCCTGGTGCTCTTCCCATCCCTATTTTGATCCTACTCCCTCCTCTCCACCCTCCCCCCCCACCCCATCACCCAGTGTCTCCGGTTTATAGCTGCCTATAGCTGCCTGTTGATTTTGGTTTTAACTTTTATTATGATTACTTGTTTTTTCCTGATCCCTTATTTGGATCCCCTACATACCTCCTATAAATGAAGCCATCCGATATCTTTCTTTCTTCTGACTTTTCACTGAGCATGACCCCTTCCAGTTCCATCCATGTTTGTGGTAAAATATTCTTATTGAGTCCATTGATATTTGCTGAATGAGGGCTCATTCACCGAGCCCTCATGAATGAATGATCATACTGCCTGAGTGGCAGACCTGGCTTGGCCTAACAGCATCACTCACTTCCCTGGACTGACTACTCTGGCTTTTTCTCTTAACCTGGCTAATCAGGGAATGGACTGCCTGGGTTCAAATTCTAAATCTTAGTGGATAGGTGGCTTTGTTCTATTTCTGTCTTAGCATTGACTACTACTACTAGCAATTACCCTGTTTGATTCTCTTGCTGCTCCATCCCTTATAAGCTCTATTGATGTGAAAACTGGCCTGTTGTACACGCAGGGTCTAACCTAGAACACAGTGGATGCTCAATAATAACTAATGAATTAAAGAATAGCAGAGGTGGTCAAGTGCTGACTAAAGCTGGAGCTTTCTGATGAGTGGCACTGGAGGGAAGAGAGGCTTTGCTGGGACCAGGCCCTATTCTTGGTTCTATGCACTGAGCCCTAGATGAGGCTCCTTCCAGGGTCCATCAACTCAGGGACTGAGCACTCTACAGTTTACCAGGTATTTTCACTGTCATCTCATTTGAAACTCACAAAGCCTTGGGGGGCAATCAGGACAGGATTAATTGCCTCCAGGACTCCTAGCATAATGAGTCCAAGGTTTAGAACACTTCTCACTAAAATTGGCTTTGCTCTCAGGAAGAGAATACTGATATTTTGTTATGGTCCATTCAAATTAGAAACCAACTCTCCACCTTCCCACACCACGGCCCAGGTTCATCCTGAGTGGACCTGGAGCATTCTTTATTACACAATGCAACTTCTAGCCCTCAGAATAACCTCCCTACCCTCCCGGTCTTACCTTCCATCACTCACTGCCTCTTGCTTTGTAAGACTTTAGCACAAAGTATTGACATCCCAGCCCCTCTCCCCTTCCCCCAGTCCTCCACCACCCTTTATGCTGTTAAGTTTCTGAAGCTCCTCAGGGCAGTTCTCTCCGCCTGGAATGCTCTTCCAAGAATTGCTAAAATCAGTCTTATTTGAAAGACTCACCCAGACACACTTTCTCCCTGAAGTCCTCATAGCAAGGAGGTAGCAATAGGATGACTTCTGTCCCTCACTCTGGGCTGGCAGTTTAGGACTTTGCCTACAGAGGATCTCTGCCAGATGTGTCATTCTTTGCCAGGCCGTGCTTTCCAGCAGTGTGACCCGACCCTGTACAAAATCCCTCTTTTTCTGACCTGAGCGTGCCCCTCAGTCTACAATGATAACTCCCTCCTGTCTGCACATTCCTTTCCAAAACGCTTTCATGGGGCTCAATATCAGCAACTCCCCCTGCTCCAGATCCAGAAACCGGATGGGAGAAACAAAGCCTGCAGGATGCCAGATTACTTTTTCCACCGACAGCGACAAAGGCTGGGCCAGGACTTCAGCCTCTGAGTCTCGGAGAGGGAAATCCACGCTGGCTTCGAGAGTTTCCGGTTTCACCGCGCACCCCGGCAGTGCCACGTAGTCGCGGGACAGACTAGGCGCAGGATCTGGGGGTGCCGCTGGGGGGCGGGGGGGGGGGTTCGGAATGCCCGAGATGGGGGCCAGGAAAGGGCTGTCGGCAGGTAGAAACCCCCACCCCCACCCCTACCCCCAGCCACACATCCGTAGCGTCCCGGCAGCAGGGCGCCCCCAGCAGGGCCTACCGGGGCGCCGCTGAGCCCCCCCACCCCCACCCCGAGCGGACACTCACCGAACCACGGTACTTTTCTAACGACACCAACTTGCCCCGGATGTTGACCGCCTTGAAGTCGTAGAAGTCCTGCTCCCTCTGCGCGCAGGCGGCGGCCCATATGAGCATCCACACCGCGGCCACGACTGCTCCCATGACTTGCTTCCGAGGTGGTGGCTTGCAGGGCAAAGACCGGGCGGGGGGGAACCCTTAGTGGGGGGCGGAAGGAGGCGGTCTGGCGCCACGTGGCCGCGGCCAGGAGCTCTTCCAGCCCCTTCCCCTGCATGGCGGTGGGGCACCAGGTTCTGGACCTGTTTCCCTCCTCACACCTCCTCCTTCCTCCTCCCTTAAATACTGCGGGATCTTTAGATTTCCTGAGCCCCAGAGCCAAGGTTTTAGGATTTTGAAGTTAAGACCAGAATCCGTGTCAGTGCAGCTCCCTCTAGTTCCATACAGTGACCTGGTAGAGAAAGGGAGATAAAAAGAAAAAAGCCCGCGGACCTGAAAACCCAATCTTTAATGAGTGCAATGGCTTTAGCTCATCACTTCCTCTATATAGGCCTCAGTTTCTCCATCTTTTCAGTGGGGCAAGCCTCAGTTCCTTAAACATCCAGTTGGTGTAAAATGTGAGTAATTGAAAAATAAATGTGAAACACTTTTCCAGCTAATATTTGCCTGCAGTCCTTAGGTGAATGAATGAATCTTCCTGAAATGGTTGACAGAGAGAAGTTGAAGGGGCAGTTGCAAGTTGGGTTCCTGGGAAGCAGATTCTGAGGTAGAGATTGCAGTGCACTATGTTTGAGGGGTGCCTTGGGATTGGCGTCTGGGGAAGGGACTACAGAGGATGGGAGTGGACAGAAGTCCAGAACTCTATGCAAGTCCAAAGGATAATCTTGGCCAACACCCCAGAGACTTTGGAGCTAGGATGGCCTATCAGAATTGGGTCCGATGAGCTAAAATGGCCAGGCTTGTCTGGCAGTTAGATATCCCTGACTTTGTTGGTCATTGGATTTGGAGCCATCTGGAAAGAGGTATAATAGAAGCTAAAGTGGTCCTGTCCCTGGAAGGATTAACAAGCTGGTGTCTGAAGTCTACACTGATGGGGTATATGGATAGCATCATTTTGCAGTGTCTCCACCACACAGAAAACTCCTTTTAAACGCTAAGCATGGTGCTGGGTGTTGATGTTGTTCTAGTTTTTTTTTTTTTTAATATTTATTAATTTATGCATACAGAACTGGGGTACAGGCCAGTGGCGCAGGGGCAGTGAAAAGATTCACCAGAGACAGAGTGGGGAGAAGAACAGGCTGACTGATAAGTACACTGCTGAGGGGAGCAGCGGGTGAGTCAGAAGAGGTCTTCTGTGCCTTGTGGATCACCTGGGTGGGGGGGGGTTGGGGTTGGGGGGCAGGGGTCAAACTCTTGCTGAAGTGGTTTTAGCTTCTTAGTGCTGTGCTTTAACCCACTGCACCACCAGGGAGGGCCCGATGTTGTTCTAGTTGTAAAGGAGCTCACAAACTAGGGTCAGAGAACCTAGGTAAACTGGGGATTTCGGGTTATACAGTATGGCCTAGCACTCCTATAGTCATTCAACAAGCAGTTCTTGAGCACCTGTTCTATACCAGGTCTGCTCTAGGTATCTCTTATACAATGATGAATAAGTTAGTATGGCCCCTACCCAGGGGGAGACAGGTATTAAATAATTCATAAATGTCTCTAAAATCACTATTGTAGTCCTCTAAATCAAGTCATCTTGAAAGGGGTAGTCTCTACAACTTTTCTCAACACCTTTAGGTGGTTAGATACTCCAGTTCTGTGCTTCCCTTTAACATAATACTTGTGTTATAACTGTAATGACCCACAATCCTAGCTGCACCTTAAATCACCTGGGGAGCTTCCAAAACACATGACCAGACCCCATCTCAGGCCAAATAGGGTCTCAACGTTATTGCTTTTTAAGATTTCTCCAGGTGATTCTAAAGTGAAGCCAGGACTGAGAACCACTGTTATGTTGTCATCGCCTACCTACCCATGTATTTCCTTGAATCTGTGAGCACTATGAGTGCAGGACCATCACTGATTCAAACCTGTTTTAGCATGCAACCAGAGACCTGATACATAGTAGGTGCTCAGGATATGAAAATTTATATTAAGAGTATGGTGACTTCATATTTTATGTAGTTTTGTTAGGATTGTGGTATGTAAATCATCTATGACATTTTTCTTTCTCAAATGTTGATTTGCAATTGTTTACATAACTATGGGGGGGGGAGTACAGCTTCATAGGTACATACACTTCACCCATCCTCCATCAAATAGGTCATCATTTTTCAGACTGTTAATTGCAACTTCTTAGTAGATCATGGAATCACTTTATAGTCCAGACTAGCAGGGGGGATAAAAAGAATTGACTAGAAAATATATGAGTAAGGGCCCTCCCTGGTGGCTCAAGAGATTAAAGCACAGCACTATGAAGCTATCCACAGCCACTGCAGCTCAAGTTCGATCCCCAGCCAGGGAGATGACCCACATAGTGCAGCAGACCTCTCCTGTCTCCCCTGCTGCTCCCCTCAGCACTGTGTTTCAGTCAGTCTGCCTGTTCTGCTCCCCACTTTATCTCTGTTGAATCCTCTCACCCTCCACACCTCTGGCCTGTACCCCAGTTCCTGTATACATAAATTAATAAATCTAAATATATATATATATATATATGAGTAAGGGCCTCCCTGGTGTCCTAGGGATTGAATCTCAACTCTGTCATTGCTACAGCCCGGGTTCGATCTCCAGCCAGGGAGCTAACTCACATAGAGCACAGCAGATCCCTCTTGTCTCCTCCACTGCTCCCCTTGATAGTGTAGTTCAGTAAATCCACCTGCTCTGCTCCCCACTCTGTTTCTGGTGAATCCTCTCATCTCCCACATCTCTGGCTTGCATCCCAGTTCTTCTATACAAAGTTAAATTAAAAAAATATAAAAGAAAATATGAGAGTAAGTTCCAGATAGTAAGAATTAGTGTAATATTATGGAACAGGTATGTGTAATCCGGATTGCAAGATAAACTATATTTCTAATGTCATTTGCATTGAAAATGTTAGAAAACCACTGACATAAAACAAATAATATAACTTTATATTTCTGTCTCATTAAACTTTATCTTTGTAACTTTTTTAATTAAAGTAACATTTCATTATCTTTAAAATGGGGATAATAATAATACTTTCTCCCTCATGGGATTGTAATAAACCAAAACATGTAAAGGGTTTGGTGTTCAACAACATTTTTAAAAAGTAGAATATAAAATCTTATTTATCCTGGATGATTACTGTTATATAATATTAGACATAAAGATAAAAAAGGTTTTTTTTAATCTTACTATATGAGACCAGCTCTGTTGGTAAATACTGTTGCAATTGAAAACCTTTGACAAGTAGGAAGCTATGTACTTAACTGCTTTCTTTTTCTTGAGACCAGGAATGTTGTGGGGATTGGTTGGCACAGTAGAGCTGCTGCCTTAGATTCTATCTGAGGCTATATCCTATTAATATCTGGACTGCATCTGACTGGTGCCCATAGGCTGTCTCTGCACCTGTTCTTAGAAAATTAACATAGCTCTGTTTAGAGCCCCTGAGGGGAGCTGCTCAGCAGGACTTACCTATTTAAGTCTTGGGAACACTTAGCAAGATGCCTGACACTCAATAAAAATGGGCTAAGTTGAATTGGACTATTGGTACTGTTGTGTGACCTTGATTAAGTCACTTCCATTCTCTAGACTGGAGTTTCCTGTGTGTAAAATAAGGGAAATTGCATGGAAGGTCATACTAGAGGTATTTCTGATTTTACAGCTGAGGATGCTGGAACTCAAGTAGGGGAAGGGACTTGCCCAAGTTCACACCACCACTAGTGTGAGAGAAGGGTGGAAGTTACAGCTGAAGTGTTTCCACCCCCTGGTAGAGCACTTTCTGTGGCATCTGATTGTAAATCCAATTCTATACTCCTTGAGAGCAGTTAGAGACAAAAAAATACACATCACAGTAGGGATAAATCTTGAACAATACAATGTGGTATGTAAAAGTAAGATACTGAATGAGATACGTAATCTTGTCCTACTTATGTAAACTGTGTGTCCACAATATTAAAATACACATTTTGCAAGCGTGATGTAAACAGTTACACAATTAATACACACTAAAGAGAATTTTCTGTAGGGGTGAGCAAAGGAATGAGGTAAAAGGGAACAGATAAGTAAATAAAACAAGAGACAAGCCTTCAAGGTCACAGAAGACAGCTATGAACAGGGTAGTATATTTTACTCAACTCTGCACTTGAAGTTGAAATATAAATTACCATAAACTCTGCTTTTTGTGGGTTTTATTTCTAGCAGTATATGCAAAACAAAAAACAGATAGCTCCTGTCACTGACTTTTAAAAGTGGCCCCCACTCTCCTTGCACTATATTCTCCTTTAAACCTTTCTCTCATCTAAAGTTCCTAAAGCAGCTTTTTCTCTTTGGACTCCCTGCCTCCACTCTTGCTTCATCCAATCCAACGCAATTTTCCACAGAGCTGCCAGAATAACCTTTGTCACATAAAAATCTGATTGTGGTTCTCCTTTGTTTAAATAACCTTCAGTGACTTAGTCTGACCAATGACCTAGGTGGCTTGGGGCAGGGTCAAACAGAAGAAGTTGGCTGTCAGGGTGTGCAGCTTCGTTCTGTCACTTTTGTAGGATTTTACACAAGTTAATTAAGTACACTAGAAATTAACAGTTAAACAATAAACTTTCTTTATTTCCTCATCTGTAAAATAAGAATAGCAGCCCCTATTCATTATGTGGTTGGTGGATTAAAGAAATTTAAACATGTAAACAATTTCAAACATTTAGATATCATCATCACCATCATCATCATCATCATCATTATTGATGTTGTGGTAGTTGTCATCACCCAGTCCCTTGACAGTTTGGGTTGCATGGTTCCCCTCTGCTTTATTTCCTGCCTTTTGTTTCTTGTTTCTGATATCTGCAAGGCCCTGCCCCCACTCCTCTGTCTGGTATACTCCCTCTTGATTTAAAACTCCCTTCTCCAGAAAGCCGTATTTCAGGCCCCTTGCCACAGATGTGGTGCAGTTGATGGGAAGCCCTTCCTCTGTGCTCTTCAGACCCCATGTGCTTATCTTGATGTGGTGTTAAT